CCCATGCACATATGGTCACCTTATCTTTGATAAAGGTGGCAGGAATATACAGTGGAGAAAGGACAGCCTCTTCAATAAGTGGTGCTGGGAAAATTGGATAGGTACATGTAAAAGTATGAGATTAGATCACTCCCTAACACCATACACAAAAATAAGCTCAAAATGGATTAAAGACCTAAATGTAAGGCCAGAAACTATCAAACTCTTAGAGGAAAACATAGGCAGAACACTCTATGACATAAATCACAGCAAGATCCTTCTTGACCCATCTCCTAGAGTAATGGAGATAAAAACAAAAATAAACAAATGGGACCTAATGAAACTTCAAAGCTTTTGCACAGCAAAGGAAACCATAAACAAGACCAAAAGACAGCCCTCAGAATGGGAGAAAATATTTGCAAATGAATCAACTGACAAAGGATTAATCTCTAAAATTTACAGGCAGCTCATGCAGCTCAATACCAAAAAAATAAACAACCCAATCCAAAAATGGGCAGAAGACCTAAATAGACATTTCTCCAAAGAAGATATACAGACTGCCAACAAACACGTGAAAGAATGCTCAACATCACTAATCATTAGAGAAATGCAAATCAAAACTACAGTGAGATATCATCTCACACCAGTCAGAATGGCCATCATCAAAAAATCTAGAAACAATAAATGCTGGAGAGTGTGTGGAGAAAAGGGAACACTTTTGCACTGCTGGTGGGAATACGAATTGGTACTGCCACTATGGAGAACAGTATGGAGGTTCCTTAAAAAACTACAAATAGGGCTTCCCTGGTGGCGCAGTGGTTGAGAGTCCGCCTGGCAATGCAGGGGACACGGGTTCATGCCCCGGTCCGGGAAGATCCCACATGCCGCGGAGCGGCTGGGCCTGTGAGCCACGGCCACTGAGCCTGCGCGTCCGGAGCCTGTGCTCCGCAACGGGAGAGGCCACAGCAGTGCGAGGCCCACGTACCACAAAAAAAATAAAAATAAAAATAAAACTACAAATAGAACTACGATATGACCCAGCAATCCCTCTACTGGGCATATACCCTGAGAAAACCATAATTCAAAGAGTCATGTACCAAAATGTTCATTGCAGCTCTATTTACAGTAGCCTGGAGATGGAAACAACCTAAGTGCCCGTCATCGGATGAATGGATAAAGAAGATGTGGCACCTATATACAATGTAATATTTCTCAACCATAAAAAGAAATGAAATTGAGCTATTTGTAATGAGGTGGATAGACCTAGAGTCTGTCATACAGAGTGAAGTACGTCAGAAAGAGAAAGACAAATACCGTATGCTGACACATATATATGGAATCTAAGAAAAAAAATGTCATGAAGAACCTAGGGGTAAGACAGGAATAATGACACAGACCTACTAGAGAATGGACTTGAGGATATGGGGGGGGGGTGAGCTGTGACAAAGTGGGAGAGAGGCATGGACATATATACACTACCAAACGTAAGGTAGATAGCTAGTGGGAAGCAGCCACATAGCACAGGGAGATCAGCTCGGTGCTTTGTGACCACCTGGAGGGGTGGGATAGGGAGGGTGGGAGGGAGGGAGATGCAAGAGGGAAGAGATATGGGAACATTTGAATATGTATAACTGATCCACTTTGTTATAAAGTAGAAACTAACACACCATTGTAAAGCAATTATACCCCAATAAAGATGTTAAAAAAAAAAGAACAAAAAAAAACCAACGTTAGCATAAGGAAAGAAATCGTAAAGATCATATCAAAAAGAAATGAAGAAGAAATGAAGGAAACAGTAGCAAAGATCAATAAAACTAAAAGCTGGTTCTTTGAGAAGAAAAACAAAATTGATAAGCCATTAGCCAGACTCGTCAAGAAGAAAAGGGAGAAGACTCAAATCAACAGAATCAGAAATGAAAAAGGGGAAGGAACAGTTGCATGCTCATCATTCTCCCCGGGGTGAAGTGTGCTGCTGGCCCAGCCGTGTTCAGAGAGGAAGCTCGGAGCTGCAGGCGCTGGCGGAGCGGGGAGCGGGTAGAGGGACAGGATCCCCTCTGCAGCTTCTCGCCTCCTTTAGAGGCAAAGGAGGGAAAGAAGCTTGCATATGAAGATCTGATCTCCGCGCACTAAAAGAGGAAGGTTTGGGGCCAATGCTGCCGGTCAGGAAGCACTGAGTCCTAGTGCGCAGGGGGCATCAGACGGTGTTTGGTTGTGTGAAACGTGTCCCTTCTGAAGGGCCCTGCCTCTGTGATTTAAATTTGTGCCATCACTGGTTTTTGTGATTAAGTTCCTTAAGTTGATAGTAAAAGGGAGAGGACGTAGATGCATAAGGCCGGCTGTGCTCATGCGGGTGAGTCTCCTGGGAAGTGCTCTGACCACCGCTTTTTAGAAAAAGAATAAGTGACTAAAAATGGCAAAAAAGAAAGAAAATACGACCGAATGTATGTCGAAGTGCCTGTGACAGAAAGTGACAGTGACGTTTCCGCTGGACGCTGGCTTGTCAGAATGCCTGTGAGAAGAGGGGGAAAGCGGCCACCGAGGATCAGAAGAGAGGAGGCGGGGGACCAGTGGGGCAGCGCGGGAGCAGTGCCCGGCCTGGGTGCTGCCGAGGTCACCAGGCTGTGCGTCCCCACAGCGTCTGTGGTGCGGGGCATGGAGGCCTGCCCTCCAGCTCGTCTTCATCCTTCAGTGTTTGCACTGGGCCAGCCCTGCCCTGGGCTCCAGAGATGCAGCAGGAACAAGGGCCGCTGCTCCAGTAGAGACCACACGGCACAGCCGCTCGGGAGGGTGGGTGCCGTCCTGCTGTCCTTGTCCTGAGAGGATCACTGAAGCCATCTTGCAGGAGGATGACAGAATCTTTTTTTCTATTTTTTATTATCGTAAAATATACATAACATGAGATTTACCATTTTAACCATTTTTAAGTGTACAGTTCTGTGCCATTGAGGACATTCACATCGTTGTGTAGACACCACCACCATCCAGCTCCAAAACTATTGAGAACGGCAGAATATTTTTTTTTTCTTTTTTCTTTTTTTTTTTTTTTTTTTTTTTTTTTTTCGCCGGTTCTATCAGGGAAAGTATTTTTCTTGGTGTACGCGGGCCTCTCACTGCCGTGGCCTCTCCCGTCGCGGAGCAACAGGCTCCGGACGCGCAGGCCCAGCGGCCATGGCCCACGGGCCCAGCCGCTCCGCGGCATGTGGGATCCTCCCGGACCGGTACACAAACCCGTGTCTCCCGCATCGGCAGGCGGACCCTCAACCACTGCACGGCAGAATATTTTTAAATCACCCGATTGCTCACGAGTTTTAGGAAAAGATTTTTAAATTACTAATCAGTTGTCTAGTCTGTTCAAAGCATAGATTAAGGTAGATTTTATAACTAAAATTTAACTTTTGGCATTGTTCATTTGTCTCCCTGCAAGATATACAAACCCATCTCTCATTAATAAGAATTGTTTTTGATGCCCAGAATCCATTTGTGTAAGTTTGCTTTCTTTAGTTGGTAGGTGTATAAATCACGTGAACCCTATTTGCAAGTTTAATATCAGTCTGTCAAGTTCTTTCCCAGTCCTAAAATTGTATTCTCGTGTGTTTTCTGTATTCAGAGCTTGGGTTGGAGAGAAGTTCCTCTCGTGTAAGCTTTGATTTTCTGCACAGTAGACGGTGTCTACGTATTGTGTCACTTAATGCCGTGGATAGGGGACCGGCTCGTCCCTGTCCTCCCGTGAAACTGCAAGTCCCAGATGCGCCTCCCCCACCAGTGGCCAGCAGCCCAGGCCACGCGGGTCTAGTAGGCTCAGGTGGGGCAGACTGGCCAGTGCAGGGAGGAAGGCTTGGTGACGGGAGGAGCCCCCGGGAGGCCCCCGAGCGGCAGGAGGCGAGCTCGGTGCAGAGGGGCAGCTTCCCGCCGTGGACACACAGGGCCCCGCACCTGTCCTTCCTCCGGTCAGCAGTGCGCCCCCGGCTGTCACCTCCCACTGTGGGGACGCCCAGAAGCCAAGACCCACAAGGCAGATACACGGTGCGTGAGGGTGTGGTGCCCGCTCAGGGGAAGAGGAAGCCAGAGGAGGGAGGCGGCCAGCTGACGCCGCCTGACACCGCATGACACTGCGTGGCGGGGCCCCCAGGGCAGCAGTGCCGTGGCCTGCGGAGCCTTCAGGGGTCCCTTTACAGGGGAAGTAACGGGCGCCCTGGCCACTGTGTTTGCAGGTGGTGGGAAGGGCAGGCTCCTGGGGTGCTGAAGCAGAGCCTGTGGGGCTCACTGATGGGTCAGGGACAGGCCACACCTGGAACAGGAGGGAGGGGTGGGAGCCGCTGGGGTCTCCAGGCTTCGTGGCCTGAATACCTGGAAGACTGGCGGTTCTGGCCTCTGCGCCAGAGGCTGCGAGGGGCACACGTGAGGGGGAGCCTGTGGGTGGGGGAGGGGGGGGTTGGTCTGGTTAAGTCACATTTAAGTGACGTTAAGAGACCCAAGTACATGCTGGGTAGCAGAGAGGCCCAGGTGATGGCACAAACGTTTGGGTCACGAGCATAGAGATGGGTGTGCAGCCTGGGACCTGGGCGAAAGCACCGTCAGGGTCTGTACGGACAAACGGGGGGCGGGCTGAGTCCTGGAGGGGGCGCAGGCGGCGCCCTGGGAGCCCGACTAAGAAGGGCCTGGAGGAGACAGGTGAGGAGAGTCACGTGCCATCGGGAGCCCAAGGCGCGTCCTTCGGGCCGGCAGACACTGATGATAGGCAGGCGACCCGGAGGGGGTGCAGGTGGCCTTGAGGACGACTGGTTTCCATGGAGACGGGGGTGGGGCGGGCAGGAGCCCGGGGGCGGGGCTGTGGAGGGCAGGACGGAGGAGACTGCTGCCCACGATTGAGAGGGCGACTCTTTCAAACAAGTGTGTTGTTTGCAGATGGAGATTCTACCACACAGCCTAAGGTCATGCTTCCAGGATCACAGTAGACCCTGCGTAGACTCTCACTCGCGCTGCAGCCATTTGTCTCTGATCTTTCTGTTCTTGTGTTTCAGGAAAAAGAGAGTGAAGCTGCGAAGGCCAAGAATCAGGGTACGTAGAACGCACATCATGAAAGCTCTGCGTAGAAACCACTTGTATTCACGCCGCGAATGTCTGCATCTCCGACGCTTCAGGGCTGAATGCAAAATACTACCTTTACTAACTTGTAGCTTTTAAACTGTATTTCCCATCAAACTGGTTAACTGGTTACTAAAACTTTGAAAATAGTTTTCTACAAAAGGTTATTTAAATAGCTTTCTTTTTAATTTCTTTAGACACTCAAGGAAGGAAAGCGGCCCCACCTAATGCTCCAGAAATTCCAGATAATCACTATTTAGATAAGTGAGTAAAGTTGTCTCTAACCCACTGTAGAGTAAGCAGAGGGACTAACCACATAAAAATGCTGCCAGATAAATACATTCTCCCCGGTTCATTAGGATTACTCGAACTCATTGGCTCTTCTCAGTGATTTTGAAAGCTAGGAAATTGCCCTCTAAACCAGGCAGCGTCAGCTGTGAGTCAAGATAACCTTTCCTCTCTTCCCCGACAGAAATGAGCAGGCTGTTTGTCAGAAGTCCTGTTACAGGCCAAAAATTTTTTTTAGTGTTTTATGAAAGTATGGTTGATGTACAGTGTGTTAATTTCTGCTGTACAGCAGAGTGACTCAGTTATACACATATATGTTCTTTTTCATGTTCTTTTCCACAATGGTTTATCACAGGACATTGAATATGGAAGGCTCAAATTTTACAGCAGCAAAATGCTTTCTCCTGTGCTGTGGCTGAGACAAATCTACAAGGAATTTAAGGGAAATGTCTTGGTCTAATCTTTTCTTGTGATTTAAAATATCCTTTCTGCTTGGTGACGCTGACAGAGTTAGAATTCTAAGGGATCTTAAGCTACTTTATCTCAAACCCCTATGTGGTAAAGACTCTTTTTTACGCCCTTTGATAGAGGAGCTACCCAGCCCCTCCTGAGGCCCCTCTATGAGGGGCAGCCGTGCCTCCAGGTCAAGCTGAAGCCCACTCAGTGGGTCCAGGATGGTGGCCGCAGGCTGGGCACGGGGGGTGTCACGGAGCTCCCCGGGAGCCAGCAGAATGGGGATGGCTAAACTGGGTCTGTGCTTCAGTTCTTACCTTTCTGTTTTGTTTCAGTTTATGCATTTTTTGTGGGGAGCGGAGCGACTCCTTCACAGAAGAAGGCCTGGATCTCCATTACTGGAAGCACTGTCTTATGCTGACGAGATGTGACTACTGCAAACAGGTCAGGTGCTGGGCACGGGCGGGCAAGACCCAGGCCGGCGAGCTGGACACGCAGTTCCCGAAGGCCGAGTCACAAAAATGTCCCAAATCTTAGCATTTTCAGAGGAAAAGTTATGGGGAAAGTTTTGTTGGGGTTGATTTTTCTTACTTTATTATTAAAGTATAACATATATATAAATGTATACAAGTCGTAGGTGTTACAGCTCCTGAATTATCGCAGGATAAACAAATCCATGTAACCACCAGCGGGCCACGTACCCCAAGGTACCCCACCCTCCTCCCCAGGGCCATCACTGTCCTCATGTCTGTTTCTAGCTTTGTGAGTTTTACGGAAGTGGAATCACACGCCACGCCTGGGTTTGCCGTACAGTAATCCATTGTTTGAATGTACCGCGATTTATCAGTCCTTCCTACTGCGTCTGGGTTTGGGCTGAGACTGTTAGGGATAGCGTTGCTACAGACACCCTTGTGTAATCTTCCGCGCGTGCGGACGCACTTTTCTGGGCGCACACCTCGCTGTAGGACGGCTGGGTGGGCTCGCGTCCAGCTGCAGGGCCAGTGTGAGCCGCGCGCCTAGTGTCTGGGCGGGAGCCGCCCCCCGTCCTCGCCAGCCTCGCGGTCGCCACCTGGCACGCGCCCGCCGCGCTCTCCTGGCGATGCCGGGCTGGAGCCCTGCCCCCTGCTGGCCTCTCGCTGCCTCTCTTGCGAAGCACTTCTAGTTTCTCACCCATACTTGGAATTGGGCGCCGGTCCCACTATTGCTGACGTGTAGTCGTTCCCGACACACCCGGATGTGCGTCCTTCGCCACTTGAATGTGTGGTGTCCACACTGTGTCTGGCCTCTTCACCAACGAGCAGGAGCTTTTCATTTTAATGTTGTCCACCCTACTGACCCGTTCTAGGGTTAATGCTTGGGCACCCTGCTGAAGGGGTCCTCGTGCACCCCAGTTGTTCATCTTTCCTCTATGCAGCCAGCCCTCCTTTAGACGGAGGAGGGGAACCAGAAGGGGAGTGACCTTCTCTCCTGTCCTGGGTGCTCTCAGGCCTGCAGGGGCGGGGTGGGCAGGCCCCACCCTCTGAGCAGCTCCCCCCGCCCCCCGGTTGGCGGTGTGGACTCCTCCACCCGGCGTGGCCTGGCTCCTGTGGCAGCAAGCGAGAGTCTGCGGCGTGAAGCTCTAGGGTGTGTACAAGCCCCTCCTGGCAAAGAGGTCACAGTGGTGAAAGGGTCTCTTCTTGTGACCCGTTTCCGGGCACGTTCTTAGAAATGGCTGGGAACTGGGATTGAACCCAAGGCCACATAGACCCCTGAGCTCTTCAGAGTACAGGTCAGGGTTAGTGTTGTGGGTAAACCGTCACTCCCCCTCCCCGCTTAGCCGTGGCCTCTGGATGCTCCTGAGGTAGCATGGCAAGCAGGATGCGAGGTCTCCAGCCACGTGTACGTGACTGCGCACGTAACAGGCCGCACGCGCCTCGGGGTGCTCAGCCGTGTGACGTGTCCCGTCGTGGCTTCCAGGTGGTGGAGATTTCCAGCCTGACGGAACACCTGCTGACGGAGTGTGACAAAAAGGACGGCTTTGGGGAGTGTTACCGCTGCAGCGAGGCCGTTTTAAAGGAAGAGCTGCCCAGACACATAAAAACGAGAGACTGCAACCGTGAGTGCCCCCGCAGCCCCCCGAGACCCTCGCGCCATCCCCGGGAGGCCCGGCTAGGGGGCTTGGGGGGCAGATCCCGCGTCTGCCGGTGCCCCTGCCCCCCCGTTCCTCTGCGCCACCATTCACGCCCCACAGGAGTAACTAGATCTTGTGTCATTGAAACCATTTCAGCTGCCAAAGCGGAGAAGCTGGCGAACCGGTGTCCTCTGTGCCACGAGAATTTCACCCCTGGAGAAGAGGTGAGGGGCTGACGTGGGGGCAGCCTGGCCACATGGAGGGATGGCGGGCGTCGGGAGGAGGCTGGCCCCCGGGGTGGGGTGAGGCTCTGTCTCAGGGTTGCTGCCCAGCACGCCTGTGGCATCTCCCGGGAAGGGGGAGCGTCTCGGCTCTTTGGGATGGAAGCGGGAAGTGGTTTCACTTTTTCCAGGCTTGGCTTTTTCATCTCCACGTCGGGGCCTAGACTGGCCTCCTGGCCAGATTCTGTAACGCTCTGGTCCCTTGTGATGCATAAAGCTGAGCCCCGTCCAGGTTGGAAATCCTACCTCGTGTCTGGTGCCCAGTGCTCCGCCTGCCCCCAGCGTGAGCCATGCGGGTGACACAGCGGCCTAGCTGGGGGGCGCCAGGGTCTCCCACCCTCTCCTCCACGCGCCCCGTCATCTGGTGTCAGCCCGATCGCTCTGGCTCACACCACGCCGGTGCTGCCCTGCGTGCTGAGCTCCCGCGGGGCCCAGCAGGCCCAGCCTCTCCTGCCCTGAGCCCCTCAGCCGCGGCCACCTGCAGTCCACCCACTGCGTCCACTGCGGGGTCCCTTGTCCCAGCCCTGGGGCTGTGGTGCAAATAGGATGGCTCAGACCCAGCAACGCCCCGCCGTGCCGGATGGTGGGCCCGGCCACCCGCTGCTCCCTCAGCGCCCCGGCCATCCGGCCGTCCAGGGCTCATCCTCTCTCCCTCTCGGAAAACGTCACACACGTAACAGAGACAAGCACGGGAACCACATGCCCCCTCACGGGCCGTGTGTGGGGAAGGCACGGTGAAGGTTTAGGTCTCTTCCATTGTTGACTGGTTTTCAGAATGACAAGTTGGGTCCCCAGCATCTTCCAGTGGTGGCTTATTTGCTTGTTGGATCTTAGCACCATCAGGAACTCATGGCTTTAAACTGTCTGCTGTGTTCAGCTGTTGGCATCGCTGTGCTTAGTGGTGCGTGGACGAGCCGATCTCTGGCCATCAGAGCCTCTGCAGACAGGCTCCTGGCGCTGCCGGTGGCCCAGGGAACTCAGAGCCTCCTGGCCGTCGCAACAAGGTGCCCCACCGAGCCTTCCGTTCCTGGTTCCCTGCAGTGGAAATGACGTTCCAGGACCCCCTCGGGTGCCTCGGGTGCTCCTTGCTCCTGGTTCGGTACCATTCTGGGCCTCTTTGCAGACAGAGCCGGGGAAAACGTTGAGATAAATCCATCAAAAGTTCATGGTGGGGGCTTCCCTGGTGGCGCAGTGGTTGAGAGTCCGCCTGCCGATGCAGGGGACACGGGTTCGTGCCCCGGTCCGGGAGGATTCCACATGCCGCGGAGCGGCTGGGCCCGTGAGCCATGGCCACTGAGCCTGCGCGTCCGGAGCCTGTGCTCCATGGCAGGAGAGGCCACAACAGTGAGAAGCCCGCGTACCAAAAAAAAAAAAAAGAGTTCATGGTGAGGTTCCTGATTCGGAGTCTGAGCTGTAAGGGTTTCTTGAACCTCTGGTGTCACACGTCTGTGTGTCCTTCCTTCCCTCCCAAGAATCAGTGCCCACAGCCCCCAGAGATGCCCGTCGGACCGTCACAGAGTGTGCGTTGCTCGGACGCTCGTTCCCCTTGTGGGGGGCTCAGAGCAGCGTTGCAGGTGCTGCGGGCAGGGAGATGCTGCTGGACGCCACGCTGTCCCAGCTCTTCGTGTCCCTCCCGTGCCTCCTTCTGGAGACGTGGGGCAAAAGCATCTCTGCTTCATGGTCACGGGAGTTGCTCCACGTGCTTGTGTCGCCAGTTGTTAACAATTCAGCCTCATTGTTTCAGTCTGTGTTCAAGTCCCAGGGGTTTTCAAACACAAGCTCTGCAATTACATGAGATACTTAGACAGTTCCGAAGTCTGTCAAATGAGACTTACTCAGGGAAGACCTGACAGAAGCTGCTGCCCTGCCCACCATCCCTCCTCTCACAGAGCGAGGGGCTTTTTATGGTTTATCCATTTTAGTCTTAAATACGAACTGTTCTCACATGCCCACACTTTTTCTCTCTCCCTGTGTATTTTTAGAATTTAGGAGCCTTTGAGCTTTTGTTGTTGTTGTCACCTTTACACTTACTGTCGTATGTGACCAGCCCCTCCTTCTGGAGACCAGTCGGCTCCCTGCTCTGAGCAGCACGGACATTGGCAGTGGCCTCCTTCCCTTCCTGCCCTCCCCACAAGTCCCCCAGCGTCTGCCTTGAGGGGATGGCATCTGACTCACAGTCAACTGTAAAGAGGCACTAGCAGGCTTGTGCTGCTTTTCCTCTGCTTTCTCCGTGTTTTCTTAACGTGGCACCACCCGCCAAGCAGCTTAAACACCCGTTATTCTATCACAGTTTCTGTGGGTCAGAAGTCCAGGCACGACCTGGCTGGGTCCTCTGCTTGCGGTCTCCCAGGGCTGCACTCGAGGTGTCAGCCGGGCTCCGCCACTTCCTGGCCCATCGCGGGTGCTGGCAGAATTCTCTTCGTCATTGTAGGACCGAGGGCCCTTCTTCCTTGCTGGCTGTCCAGCAGGGCCACCCTCAGCCCCTGCACCCTGTGCCCCTGGACCATCGCACATTGTGCACCCCACGTGACAGCGGTCTTGGCGTGTTTGCTCAGCGGTGATGAGAGCTGGGAAAGGTGTGAAGTGCAGGCAGCATCTCAAGATACGTGGGTGCTCCGGCCGTGCACTCAGCACAGTGGGCTCCAAGGCAGGACACGCACAGAGCTCAGGACCCACGCCCGCGGCCGCAGCGCGTCGCCACCTCTGGCTCGGTCGTCTCAGTGGCCCCACTGGTGGCCTGGTTCCCACTCCACCTGCCTCTCGTTTCAGGCGTGGAAGGCCCACCTCATGGGCCCCGCAGGCTGCACAGTGAACCTGCGCCGGACGCACGTGCTGCGCAAGGCGCCCACGCTGCCGCCAGGTAAGCATCCGCCCCGGACTTGGCCCTGTCCCTGGGTCCCGAACAAGTAGGGCGATCATGTCGTCAGCACCAGCTCTGGCCGAAGCCCCTCCACGTGGCCCTGCTTCCCCAGGCTCCGCGGTGGCACTCACGGAGTTGACAAACCAAACCGCGGGTGTTCGCAGGTGCACACTGGGTCTCGTGTCCCTCCGCACCGTGGGTACCAGTGCCCAGAAACTGGGGGTTCAGTAGGAGACCCGTAGGCGGCGCCACGACCTGACTTCTGAGTCCCAGTTCTGGCTGCTTCTGTAGGATTTAGAATGCCTTACAGAAGAGTGTTGTTTTTCATTAGAAAATTATTGTGGACCTTGGATACACGACTCTATTTTGGGGCCCTGTGATCAACGAGAACACGAGGAAATGTGTCTCGTGCTCATTCAGCGCCAGGCACGGGCGCGTGCACGTGTATGAGGACCCGAGGTGCTGGGGGAGCCCCCGCGGCCTCCTAGCCAGGTAACCCGGCCCTGGTCACCTGGCTGCTGGTCTGTCATTTCGGGAACTGTTTGAAACTAAACATTAGGGAAGCGGCTCAGCCCTTTCCTCTGACCTGCGTCAGGCGCCTCCGCTGGCTCTTCTTCCTCTCCTGCCGTCGCGTGTGCTTCCTCGAGTGGCCGCCCAGCCCCCTCTCACGTCTGCCGGCCCAGCCCGGCCACCTGTGGGCTGGGTGACCGGGAGCGTCCCAGCCCCTCATGCTCGGATCCTCCCCATGTCTGGCGACCCCAGGCCACTCGTACGGTCACCGCGGCTTTGCACCCTGGCTCACGTTTGTCCCCCGTGCTCTGTGTGTCTGTGTGTCCACTGCAGGTAGAGGCCCAGCAGCAACCAAGTCAGGGACCTCAGGATCCAAGGTCGGAAGCAAGATCCCCACCCCCAAGGGGGGCCTGAGTAAAAGCTCCGGTAGGACGTACACAAAGCGGTGACACAACACCCCATCTGCTCCCTCGTCCCCAAAGGGACCGAGCAGCTTCCCCAGCCGTGGACGTGTCACCTCAAAGCACCTCTAGACGTGGCAGCCCCCACTCCGCCCCTGCTGCCCCCAGGCTCCTGGCTGCGCCTGTCCCGACCGTGGCCCCTGCGTCCGGAGTAAGGCCCTGATCTCCCGTGGCTCCGGCTCGCAGGTCTCCGGGGTCCACAGGAGACGGTCCTGCTGGAGGAGCAGCACCGAGCGGCCCGTGCGAAGGGACAGGCCGAGCGCAGCACCTCTGCACAGCTGCTTGGACTGATTTCCATAAAGCCCTCGCTCTAAACCTCTTGCATGTGGGTCTCTCTCAGCCGTAATGGAAGGTCTGCAGGGCTCGCCAGGCTGGGGGATGGGATGGGATGGGGGGGCCAGTCACCCTGTGCCCCTCCTCCCCAGGGTAGGGGGGCCATCAGCCTGCAAAGCCTGCATGTCCACGGCAGCAAGAAGTAAGGTCGAGGTCAAGAAGTTAAGGTCCCGGCCCGGCCCCCTCGGCTCTCGGCTGCCAGATGCTCGGAGCGCAGCCCCCCTGACCCCCCCCATCGGCGCCCACACCAGGTGGAGTGGAGGTTAATGCTGGCGGCTCCACGTCAGGCCTTCCCTCGGGGGGCTTCAAGTTCTTTACATGCATGAAGCCCTAGAAAAATACGAGACATTCCCCCAATGGTCCTGCGCTCACCTGAGCAGGTGTGTCCGTCGAAATAGCCCTTTCCTAAACCCCTGGGGCAGGCAGAGTGACTCCCACTCTGTGTAACATTCAGAGGAGCCTCCAAGCCTCTGCTCAGCCCGTCATCCTGTCCCGCTCTGATCCGCGTGGGAATTGCAACTGTATGTTCACTTTTCTCAAACACTTTGTATGATACTTTCAACACCAAAAAACCACTTAAAATGATGAAACCAAATCTCAGAATCCAGCCTCCTGACCAGCCGCCAGCAACCCTCCTGGCCCGTGGCAGTGGCTCACCTGGCTTCAGAGCCAGGTAGCTGTGGGGGAGCCAGTGTCCGTCCAGAATGTGCTTGGAAAGGCCGCCTTCTCGCCCACGCCTGTGGTCCCCAGGTGCCCAGCCCACTAGAGACCAAAAGAAGATGGCCCTCCCCGCCCCACCCGGCCCCGTGCCCAGGGTGTGCTTTCCTCCTGAGCATGATACAGGCAGGCTTCCAGGATGACGGCTAGAAATGCATGGGATTGATGAAATTTGTACTACACTGTTAGTGTAAGAATATTTTTAATTCCCAACCATGTAAAATAACAAAATATATATTTAAAAACTAATAGCTATTTGAGCGATGTGCTCCCTGGGTATGTTAGTGACCATGAATTTGTCCTAGTCGATCAGTTTCCATTTTGGGTAGGCTAATGCTTTCTCATATGGTTGACTCAAAATACTGAGCCGGAATAAGAGTGACCAAGAGAATTACCTTCAAAAATATACTCTATAAAAAAATGTAAAAGTATGGGGGGAGAAATAACATAAAACTTTACTAGAGAGAGCAGAGTACAGATGCCAAGATAATTATAAAATGAGCCTTCCTGGTTTCAAAAAGGTGCTGCCATGGCCTCTCACCCATGAGAGTAAAGTACAGATAGGACCCTTCCTTAAACAGAACAATGAGAAAAGTTAACCAGGAAATGACTCCTTTCTCTCCAAGCAAAACTTTGAAGGAATATACAGTTAACGTTTTCTATGTATTGTAACATAAAGAAGATATTTGTAAAAATTACTTAATTTTTAGTGATTGACAAAATTGAGTGCATTTAAAACAGATCAGTCTTGCTGGTTACAGAAGAATCATGTGTTTCTGTTCCGATGATTCCTGGCCGTGATCAGTGGCTGTTAAAATCTTTACAGAGTTATATATATACTACTAAGGGACCAAGAATAAAGGATAGAAAACTAAAAAGGAACTATAAGCTCCCTTGGCCATTCACAAATATCTAAACTTGGAACAGTACTTAATTGAAATTTCACTCATGAATATGTTGTGGATACTTAACAATATTTATTTCTATTATTTTCATATTTCAAAATATTCTAATTTAAAAGAATTGTATCTATAAATTTGGCATTAGAGTACAAGCGTAAACACTTTTAATGAAAATTTGCAACTTTTTAATGTTTTGACATAGTTTTCTATTTGTCTTTATTTCACATACCAAAATTATAAAATATCTAAGTAATATATTTTTGTTGTTATTTGAGGGCTTAGGCGTTAATTCACCCTGAGTATATGAATATAATAAAAAGATTACTAAATGTTTTGTCACTTTTATTTTTAAATTATAATTAAAAAGCAATCGGTAAGTTACATTTCCTTTCGTAAACACGCAGGTGTAGCTCTGCCCTGAAATGCCAGGAAGTTACTGACATTTGCTTAGAAAGGGGCAGTGGCCATTAAGTTGCCAGGAGAGAGTGTGGTTCCTCAAATAAGTTATTTGTGGGTTTGCTCCTGAAGAAGCTAAACGATTTTAAGCTACATACAAATTGGAGAAAGTTCTTTACCAACTTTACCCCATGGAATAAAATGAGAATATTTTATAAATGCTTCAGTTGTGCCCATCAGAGGTTTATACTTTACAGTCTCTTCCTGTGTTTTTTATCCCTTTTGAAAGAGGGCATTTTTACCAACCAACAAAGCTATTTTGCTTTTCAAATAAGTAAAAATACAGTATTTTCTCTGTTGATTTGTAGAGTGGTTTTAAGCTTTTATTACCTTTGATGGTTTGATAAGTTTCCATTTTGAAGTTATAGTTTTTTCCTTTTATATATATATATATATATATATATACACACACACACACACACACACACACACACACACACACACACACACACACACAAACTTAAAACTTAGCATTACAGTTTAAACAGCAAAATTACTTACTTTGGTAGGTGGGGTGTGTGCGTGAGTGTGTGCTCTGGAGAACGTGGGAGGAAAGAGCTCGCTGTCCAAAGGGAAGAGTGTGATTCCACCTGCTAGTGTCAGACACCGGGAGAGATTTCAGCGCGCTACTTTCAACTAGGTGTTCGTTCATGCCATTATTTGCTCTTAAAAACTAGCCCAGTGCTACAAAACAAGAGCCTGCTGGAGCAGCGTGTGCCCCGAATCCTCGGAGCGCTGGGGTCTCCGCCCAGCCTGCTGCCACCAGGGGCAGGAAAGCCCTGGGCAGGGGCTGGGCCTCCCGGATCTGGGGTCAGGGTTTGGGGCGCTGACCCCCGGACCCGCTGCTGCAGGGTGGACGGGAGCAATTCAGTGGAGCGCCCCACGCCCCCACGTGCGTGTTCTGTAAGGGTCAGAGGACAGCTGGTCCCACCCTCCACTGCGGGCAGGGAAACTGGCTCAGAGCCCAAGCCCTCACCACCGGAAGGCAGTGTGCCCAGATGTGAACCCTGTGCTCTGCGCCTCTGTCCACCCTGCGGTGAGGGTTGCCGGGAGCAGCAGGTTCGGGGTACTGGAGGCAAGAGCCGCTTGTCTCTGCCTCGGTTTCCCCCCACACCCCGGAATGGAGCTGAGGGGGAGGTGCTGAGCCTGGTTCCCAGCAAACGCCCTCTGCGCGCCTGCGCCCAAGCACAGATCAGTTCCCCCCAGGCAGCCTCCACCCCTTCATCTCAGGCTGGGAAGGTGATGGGCCTGCGGCGGGGTGGGGGGGGAGACGGAAGGTGTGGCGCTTCACCTGCCCGGCTGGCCTCAAAATCTCCCCGAGCTTCCTTCTGACCTCTGAGGTCCCCAGGGGTGCCTCCCAGTGCGGGGGGGGGGGGGGCGGGG